CTCGTCATCGAATTCCTGTGGATTCCTTCGTACTAGATCACGCCTATTGCTGACACTCATGTCTGAAATGTGACTTCTGCGTGACTTCTGGCAGGACTGAAGATGTCTGCATTAGGGTTTAGCTGCGGGGTCTGGAAGGGGCTTCCTGTTGTCTGGGGCTGATTAGGCCCATAGCTAATATATCCTTCTTGTGTAAAAGACAGTAAATGTATTTAATTCACTTTGAAATTTACTAATCTTTTCCATTTGTGTTTGCTGGCTGTCTCTCAATTGTTGGAGACTTTCTTCTTGTTTATTTTCTTTCTCCTCCAACCACTGCTGTAGTCTCTCTTGTTCATTTTCTTTCTCCTCCAACAACTGCTGTAATCTCTCTTGTTTATTTTGCTGTTCGAGCTGCCACTGTTGCAGGTTTTCTTGCCACTGCTGTTGTTTCTCTTCTTGTTTCTTTTCTCGTTCTTTTCTTTTTCCTCCAACAACTGCCGTAATCTCTCTTGTTTATTTTGCTGTTCGAGCTGCCACTGTTGCAGATTTTCTTGCCACTGCTGTTGTCTCTCTTCTTGTTTCTTTTATTTTTACTCCAAAAACTGCTGTAATCTCTCTTCTTGTTTCTTTTCTCGTTCTTCTTGTTTCTTTTGCTGTTTTTGTATTGCTGCCATCAAATTTGCAAAGTTTGATTTGCCACTTCTCGGTTCCATCTCTCTTTTTTTTCGTCCCACTCTTTGACACCAATTTGTTACTATATGCTTGTTTGTTAATTTCCCGTATAAATTCTTTCCGAGAAACTTTAGCGATACAAGTCCTTTCTTGATTAAAACTAGTTTATTCTTTCTCGATACGACTTTTTGTAATACACAGAATTTCCACAGTCAGTTTAAACTTAACAACCTTTATAACATACGCTATAAATCACAGTGATTCACACACTTTACTTACGGTGCCTACTGTTCGCTTGACTCAATTATCTCTCTCTTCAGTCCCGCTAGTTTTTCTCGCCAGGCTTATATACTGAAAAGAGGGTGTCCCGAATGCACTCGGGCCTTCATGATCATTCGAGAAATTTCAGCGTGAAAAATAAAGAAAAACTTTTTAAAAAAGGAAGTAAATGTAGGTATGGTTAATATCAACCATTCAAAAACAATGCAAACAAGATAATAAGGATGACATTTGCATCATCCCTACATAATAGCACAGGCACACCGTGTAGTAGAATGTTAACAAACAAAAATAGGGTATTTTAAACTCAATTTTGATTGAATAGTTATATGTATAATGCTAAATATTAATTCTTGTCTGTGCTATTATTTAGGGGATATGCAAATGTCATCCCTACTATATTGCTTGCATTGTTTTTGAAGGATTGATATTAGCCATCCCTACATTTACTTCCTTTTTGAAAAGTTTTTTCTTTATTTGCTTGCTTGTTGTTGTTGTTTTTATCCAGTTTTTCAATAGATATAGGAAGGTTGTATTTATAACCAAGTTCTAAATACAATGAGGTTCCAACTGTAATATTTATTGTTTATCTATTATTGACTGGTAATTCATGTTTCTCTCTGAACTTAAACTCTTTGGGAGAACACAAATTCTGTAACAAAACTAACTTCAAGGGGTAATGATAACATCGTTTACGCTAGAATTATGATTTGTTTTTAGATTACTACTAGTTAATAATACTTATAAAAGCGAATATTTCGTTTGAAACTACAGCACCTCAGTGGAATTGGTTGACACAATTGTTCTGGTTTTTGAATTATTGTGTAATAAAAAAGAAGTAGATGAAAGAAGAACAAGAAATTCAAACTTTTTGCTATGATATTTACAGACATTCCTAGAACTTGTGACACGGTCATTACATAGGAAACACTGTATGGTATTTAAAGTTCTGATGACCTATTGAAGAGATATTTAAAATATCATTTCAGTGGACAATCCAAGCCATCCCTACATAGGCACTGCTACTGTCTGCCTGATGATGGGAATCCAGACAACGTCATATTGTGCTATTCATTTTTTTAGTATTTTGCTATTTATAATAAAAATGTTTTACTGTGTCTATAATTAAAAGTAATATCATTGTTTTCATATCTATGGTCATGGTTTAACCTAAAATAAGTCACAATAACGCTAAATAAATTTATAAAACATCTGTTCTAAAACCTTATGAGAGAAAGAAAAAGAATAATTAACAATATGTCAAACACACTATAAATAAGGCGGGCTAGGACGAGATAGATATAGCAGTGGTCGAGAAGCTCTTTGTGTTATCAAACTGCATGAACAACAACTGTTATGTTGTGAATTGGGTCAAGTAAGTTGGCAAAGTAAAATTTATTATCAGTTTTATTTAAGTCATAAATATTTGCATTTATATAATGGCTAATGGACAAGACCAAATTTAGACGTGGAGCTAGTTTTGAAATAAAAAAATCAAGATTGGAATTTTCATTGTCTAATGATTAGTTAAAAGGTGCAAATATTTAATTTAATACATTTGGCAATTCCCTTTATGTTTTTCTAATTGTCAAATATAAATACGTAACTAGATGTCGCTACACTAGTCAAAACGCCCTCTTCATTTCATATTTCAAAATTAAACTGTTGGAGCTATTCTATTTCTATTAACACTGAAGGCGAATTAGTGTAGGCCTATGCGGATATAAAGTCAAAGGTAAAATTATTAATAAGTTTATTTACTTTGTCATTTATATTTATGATGTTATTAGATACACAATTTTATGCTTAATTAAGATATTTGTACAGTATTATACTTACTTATGGATGACGTAGCCTTTCATGGTTTTTACAAAACATTGCATATAAACGAATGTTTTAAATTTAACAGCTAATTATTTAATGCATCTACCATAACTAAAGTCAATTCATTCCAAAGTCCAACTACCCTGTTAGAGAAATAAAATTATTTTAGCTGAAAATGATTCCTACCCTGTCAGAATTTATATTTGTGCCAACATTCACACCATTGAAGTTAGTAAAACTAAAAGAAATATGAATGAACTAAAAGTCGTAAATATAATTTAAAAACTCAATACATCTCTTGGGATGACCAACTTAATTATTACAAAGAATGCAACTACAAGTTAATACAGTTTAATATAATTATAAATTATGTTACTGTGAAACTCAGTCAATGTGAAAAGTTAACCAGTTTAGTAATAATATTTACAACAGGGTTGACACACCCCAAAATCCTACTTTTAGACCAGGCAAGTAAGTAAAAAAATTATGAAACGGTTTGAGTGCCTGAATCATTAACAAAGTAACATTGTAACATTACAATTTACACTCAGCCACTATGTTACACTGATACTTTTACAGTATCCACTACCATTAAGTATTATGAGAAATGTTGTTCTTAGTATTGCTATTACTATTAGGAATCGTACTAGTATTAGTAATTAGTATTCGTAAGATATTCATGTTTAATACAGTTTCTTATACTATGTTATGATCATTTAGTTAGACTTTTGACTTTGTTTAATTACCCCAAGTTGGCACAAAGGATTCAAAACTAAAGCAATCCCAAAGGTGCAGAGTAGTTCATGAAGGATATTTACATATATTTTATACTTATATCAATAAATGTCATAAACTTGTTTTACACTGAAATATTATTCATATGGAACATTATATGCTTATAACATTCATGGAAAACATCGGATGAGACCTGCTGGTCCATCTACTTTGTTCCATCCACTTAGAAAAAAACTAACTCAAAACTAACCCTTATCATTCAAATATTTATCAAGACTTCCCTTAAATTTTCCTAAATTTACTGCATCTACCATGACTAAAGTCAATCCATTCCACAGTCCAACTACCCTGTTAGAAAAATAAAATTATTTTAGCTGTAGATGATTCCTACCCTGTCAGAATTTATATTTGTGCCAACATTCACATTATTAAATATGACAAAAAGATATTGCATTGATACTGTCAATTCTCTAAACAGTATTTAATACCTCAATCAGATCCCTTCTAAATCTCCATTTTACCTAATAATTCTTCTCTGAACTCTTTCCAACTCTCTCTATGATAAAGAGCTCAAGTCTAAACACAATAATCCAAATGTGGCTCAACCAGTGACTGGTACAGTGAAATTATACCCTTTTCAGACTTGTATTCAATATTTCTATAGATGCAACCTAAAATTTTCGTTGGTCTACCACTAGCAACAACATACTGCTTGGATATAGAGACTGATCAACCAGAATGCCAAATCCTTTTTTTTCCATAATAATGTTAAGGTTGTTCCCAATTCCCATCAAAATTATAGCTATAATTCTAATTTATATAATCCACATGCATTATCTGCCATTTATTTGTCCATTTCACAAAATGATCTAAATTCTTTTGTAAAGCACCAGGATCCTTCTAACAGCCAGCAACACCTAAGTCTGTAATATGATCTGCAGACTTGGGTAATTTACTGACTATTCTTTCATCCAGTATAGATTGCAAGATATACTGCTCCATTCTGGGAGAACCATGCCCACCCTTGCCATGGGTAGAGAATTGTAAACATCAGCATTGGGCCAGAAACCCTCTGTATTGTTCTCTTGAAGACTTTGTAATTACTCTTCTTTTAAAATGAACAAATTTTATCAGATGTACTTTATTATTCACTTGTTTGTTTTAACAATAGTTTAAATAAAATACTGATACATTAAAACAATGAAAGTAAAATTAGGCTCAGTAATCGTTTTAAGTGAGACAAGAAACTGATTTTCATATGCTCAGAAAATTAAGCCATGAAAATCAGAAGTATAATAAACTCTTACTAAAGTAAAAGTTTAGCAATTTTACACAAATTTAAATTTTTATCTGTAAAGGTACTGTATTCTTGTAAAATATCACCTTTTGGATCCTTTGGGGAATTAAGTGGACATTAAAGTTTATTCTGTGCAATACAACATTACCATATAGTTATAATCTAAGGTGTGTTGTATTCTCTTTTGACATCATCTGGAATGTAAAATAGTCTGAAAATTAGCCTGAAATGTCTTTCTTACTTTTTATCTAATGTCCTAAGAAATTCCTGAAATATTATTGTTACAACTTCACACAAACAACAGACTTTGTATAAGAACGTACATTATAATAACTTAAATGATGGCATCAACTTGCGTAATAATTATCACATGCTTTGCTATACTTAGATATTACACCTATTTATTTTCCCAAGAAGTTTCATGTAGTATTGCATTCAAAATTATGTGATAAATGTACTATTACTATTATTATACACGTGATTTACCAAAACTGTAAAAATGTACCACACATTTTGCAAATTGTCATCACGATTCTTCTATTGTAAATTTCAAGTAATAAGTTAGACCACAAGTTATACGTGTAGGTACAAATATATTAAAGGTTATTAGATTAGAATGTAAGGATGCCAATAAATTGCTCTTCATAATAAATTTGTGAACATTTTATTCTAGATTGTTGATTGTTGTAGTCATAAGGCATTTTTCTGAATCTAGTGGCTCAAATCTCAAGATTCTAAATATTTTATTTATTTGTATTCTATTTCGTCTTTATCAAAACTAATTAAACTATCTGTATTCCATATCTAACTTAAATTATGAAACAAATAATTGAAACACAGGAGATTGGTAAAACTTCAGCATTTACATGAATAGCTTTGTTATTAAAATTGTTACCTTATGAGTGCTTGAATCCAATCTCTTTTGTATATGTCACTATCATCCAGAAGAAGGGTTGCTCATCATCTGTAGTGTAAGCAATTACACTTTCTATTAGCTTTTAATGAAATTCAATCAAACAACTGCATTGGATAAATTTGTTTATGCAATTTTTTAAGTATCATCAGTATGAAAAGAATAAAAATTGGGATATCAGTGACACCTCCCTGGTCCATAAAAAGTTATGGCAGTCCTGAAAATCCCAGGATTTGCTTCTATAAATCCCAAGATTTGGGTAGCCCCATTAATATACAGGATATTCTTGGGATTGGAACCCCCTCATTGCACCACAGTCTCACCTTGTGAATTAGATTATATATTTTCGTTCTGGATATGATTAATGGCCACATTTTGATGTAATTGGTATTCAAATGTGTGGCAAATTTACTAGTTGACAGAAAGAGTCTTTAAACTTTTCTTTACAGAAAACTGTAAATCAGGCTTTTTTATTGAACGTAATAGTATTATTATCAAAATAACAGGTTTTATTTAATGGCCTTTGTTTTTTTTCTACAGTCAGATCTCATTTATTTTATATCTTTTTGAAATAAGTATAAAATCTTATTTTTTTAAATTAATAATTTGAAAGATTGTATGTACATGTAGATGACATCTGTCATGAATAGCCTATTGTTACTAGGTAGCATCATCCAGAAATAAAAAGGCCATATTTGAAATAAGTTAAGAGGGAAAAAATAACTATTTTCTAAAATCATGTAGAAAATGTCACATTCCAGTTTTCTAAAACTTTTATAAGCAATCTAGTGGAAGTGAAAACAACACATGTGCATGTACCTCGTTTCTGTAACAATGCAAGTCAAACTAGTGCCAATGAGCTTGTAATTTCCTGGATCTTCATTCAGCCTTATCTTTTTGAATATAGGGGACCACACTAGATATTTTGAAATTAGACCATGCTAAATTAATTCTCTGTTTCCCATCAAGAAAAACATCTTACTAGGAAGGGTAATAATGTAATGTTTTGCACCAGTGTTCTTTTTTTTTAAAATTAAATAAAACGTTCACAGGTTTTATATGGTCTTTTTCTCATTAGTTTATTATTTGATTGCTTAGAAAAATAACCTTGGGAAAATATATGTGATAGCATTTAACCTTTACAATGTAGATCAGTAGAAAGCTATAAGAATACAGAATGCATAATTCTAAATATGTTTAAGATGCAGAATGCCACAGTTAACGAGGTAATGTTTACAAAGATACTTTATATCAAAGGTTATTCTGTTCTAATTCAAACAGTTGTTTTAAATATTAGATTATACACTTGACACCCAATAAAAGGACAATAGAAATTTTAATCATTTTATGAAGGTAAAATAAAACATTTTCTTAAGAGATAGACCCAATTACATTTCACCCAGTAGCATGAACTAGCCTATAATAATATTACATTTAAGGAACAACAAGGGAAGGGCTATCCAATTAACTTCAAAAAGTAACTTAAATCTAGACCTGATCATTTAAGTATTTACAAAGTCTTCTCTTACACTTACTTAAATTTGCTGCATCTACCACATCTGAAAGCAATCCATTCCACAGTCCAGCTTAAAAAGTAAAACTGTTTAAGCTGTATATGTCTCCTACCTTGTTCTCTTGTCCTACCATTCTTGCCACTAAATATGGAAATATATGAGGCACTGACACTGTCAATTCCCTTAATAATCTTGAACACCTCAATCAGATCCCACCTAACTTTTCTTTTTTTTTTACAAAAGAAAACAATTTCAGAGATTGTAAACTGTGCTTGTATGACAACCTTTCTATCTCAGATACCATCTTAGTAGTCCTCCTTTGAACCCTTGCCAACAATTTAATGTCCTTAAGATAAGGAACCCAGGACTGAACACAATACTTTGAATAAGTATTGGGGTCAATCCTTGACGCCTTACCTTAAGAACGTTGAATATTTGGAAAGAGCTCACAA